AAAGTCAATAGCAAATCCACTCATGTCACTTGGGAAATTTGTTGTATTCAGACAACAGCAATAAGAAAGGCTAAAATTACCAAGTGGACCATCATTAAAAACAAGACTAAATTCACTTTATTAGCCAAGCTCTTAAAAACAAAGTTATTAGATGTTCCAGTTTTAGAACATGTACTAGTAGAAAATCCAATCTAATGCCTTATTTTTTTGGAAAGGAAAAAGGAATGTTAAAGACTATATATGATAAACTAAAATCTAACAATCTTTTACTCATGCAGCAAATGTGTTGAGAACCTACAATGAAACTGAAATAGTGTAAGATACAGACAGAATAGAATACAGCTTGCCTCTTAGGACATTCGTAAATATTTAGAAATTTAGACCTTGAAGTGAGATGAATTGCATAATATGCAGAGGCAGCAATGGACCCCAAGATTAATTTAGGCCAAACACTTACTACTGTATGCTTTTGCTCTATTCCAACTTAAAGCAATTTTGTATTTGCTACAATCCTATATCCAATACAAAATCCTATGCGCTACCTGATCTGTACCGTCTTCACAATTGTTGCTATACCTGAACTCAACATTTGCAGCTACTCAGTTTATATCATTTAGTGTCTTTTCCCTTGATTGTCTCAAACATGATGTCCTTTCTCCAAGGAGCTTAACTAAAATTGCTATTTTATGTTACAGTATTAGAGGAAAAGGAAAGGTAGGCTAGAATCTCTTAGGTTTTGGAAGTTGATTAGGGAGGAAGTGAGAAATGTGCTATTGAATGGTCTAAATAACTAAGGAGTGTATAATAAGAACTTTGATAAAAGTGTAGAAATTGGGTCCTGAGTAAGAAGCCTGATGATAATAATAGTCTTTGTGGAGACTTTAGGGGAGTTCTTTGTGGTCTGCAGTAAATAAGGATTTGCACTGCCAACCCAAAGGCATGTGATTCAAATTCACTAGCTTTTCTGAGGGAGAAAGATGGACAGGCTCCTCCCATTTGCCTCTGAAAACCGTTTAGGTAGTTCATCCAGTTGGTTCTGGCTCTTTGGCCCTGTTTGATTTTGAATTTTATTTTGTTGAATAATCGCACATGTTAGCTCCTTGCAACTAAGAGAATGTGTGATTCTTCAAATTTAATACAGTATCTATGAAACATGTCATGGTCTAGATTTGGAGTAATTTAGCCAATAAACAAATGCCCTTAATGTGATGAATTTTAGTATTAGAACTAGGATTTTTAGTGCGGAAATTTGGTTCTCACTATAAATGAAAAAGAACATTTTGACTTAAGGTCTTCTTTACAGAAAAGAATTGGCAAATGTGTGGATTTTGCCTCAGAGCCCTTGATCTTACTTAGAAATTTGTAATCGAAGATCTTTGTTGTAATTTGCTGATGTGTATGTAACACATGCCTTCTAGGGAATTTCTCTTCAATGCCATTGAAACGATGCCCTGTGTAAAGAAGAAGGCAGACTGGGCCTTGCGTTGGATTGGGGACAAAGAAGCTACCTATGGTAAGGATTAATTTGGCCCTAATTAGAACTTTACTTTCCAAGTAATAATGTTGGGGGTTTTGGGGTTTTCCTTGAATGGTGATATATAATAAATTGGTGTTAACTCTTAACAGGAGAACGTGTTGTAGCCTTTGCAGCAGTTGAAGGAATCTTCTTTTCTGGTTCTTTTGCGTCAATATTCTGGCTCAAGAAACGAGGACTGATGCCTGGCCTCACGTTTTCCAATGAACTTATTAGCAGAGATGAGGTAAGTCTAATTCAAATAATAGCCCTATATACACTCTAAATACCTGTAACTTTTGGGTTCTATCTTGTATTTATTGATGGAAACCCAAGATAGTAGGTTGCAGTATATTCCCATTTAACAAGTGAATTCAGCCATATACTAGGTGAGTTGAAATACCATACTCACAATCTCTATGTGGCAGCACTGAGGACTTTGAGTGGGTGGGGCTAAGGTAACCTACATAAGGAGAGCAGAGATGTGGTCAGTATTTTGACAACTTACATAAGTGCTCTTTTTTATGCTCAAGCAAGTTGTGTAAGAAGAATACAGGAAGGGATAAAGTAGTTTCATACTTTAATATTTGTTGGCTTTATAATGATTTTAAACTTTCTTTTAGGGTTTACACTGTGACTTTGCTTGCTTAATGTTCAAACACCTGGTAAACAAACCCTCGGAGCAGCGAGTAAAAGAAATCATTGTTGATGCTGTTAGGATAGAACAGGTAGGTAATGCATCAGGGTGACATTCATGCTTGTTATAGGACATATCTTTATGCTTCGGTTCTAATCAGAAACTTGTCTTTGGTCCATAGGAGTTCCTTACGGAGGCCTTGCCTGTGAAGCTTATTGGGATGAATTGCACTTTAATGGCACAGTACATTGAATTTGTCGCAGACAGACTAATGTTGGAACTGGGTTTTAACAAGGTAAAGTATTGTTTGTAATCTTTCTGGTTCTTTTTGAAACTGATGTTCTGTATTTATGTTTTTTTTGTTTGTTTGTTTTTGTTTATTTTTGTGTGCGTGTACTGTCAAATCAGATCTGACTGGTGTATTTATGTTTTGATATGAACCTTTTCAGGTGTTCAGAGTAGAAAATCCGTTTGATTTTATGGAGAATATTTCACTGGAAGGGAAGACTAACTTCTTTGAGAAGCGCGTAGGCGAGTATCAGAAGATGGGAGTGATGTCGAGTCCAACAGAGAATTCTTTCACCTTGGATGCGGACTTCTAAATGAACAGAAGATATGCTCTTACTTGGCTGATATTTTTTTTTTCCACCTCTCATCTAAAAGGAAAAAAGATCAGCTGTGACTCACTGATGAGTCTACCTCAAAACCAATATTGTTTATTAAAAAATGATAACAGTGTTGGCCAATGAAAGGATTTTAAGACAGGCTGCTTGACTTTTTATAAAAGGTCACAGTTTGTTGTAAGCAGGCCAGCTGTAGAGAACTTTCTCCTGTAACTGCCAGTAGAAAATTTTGTATTAAAATGAAGAGACCCTCAAACTAATTTATTTCAATAGGATTAAACATTCAGTCATTTGATAGGTATAAAATTTTACATAAACTGTACATAAAAGAAGCATATCTGGATTGAGCTGTGTCACATCATACATGTTTTTTCTTTTAATCCTTTTATGTATAGAGTTTATAATTGATTAAATATTGCTCAGTGCAAGCCATTTCTGAGTGTCACCCTGGTAGTTCCTTAAACTTTTAATTTACATGTAAATAGTCAATTTTCATTCGCCTTGAGTCCTTGGAGAGGGATGTCATGCTTGGGAGGGTAGAGAGACAGCGCAGGAGAGGAGGATCCTTGATGAGATGATTGATTCAGTCACTGGGGTAATGGGAACAGGCATGTCGGAGACAATAAGATTGGTAAGGGATATAGAGTAGGGTTTAGGGCTGTTGTTCATAGGGTCTCTGAGTCACAGGCGACTTGATGGCATATAACAATATAGAGCTCAGTTGGCTTACTGGACAAAAGTGATGCTACCAAGCCAAAGGTGGGTGATTTTAATCTGCGGCCCTCAGGTCTGATTTTAATTGGTTTTGGTCATTCTTCTAAGTGGTATAGCACTAGTCTATTTGCTGTACAAAGGTAACTTGTGGTTGCTGTGATGCTGAACACTGACACAAAATGTGATAATGGTTACCCATGGTGGACAGTGTTTGGTGGAGCTCCCTGATGAAAAGGGTGGAAGCAGGAGTGGCATCCACTTCCGAAATAGCTTGCCTCCAGAAACCCTGTGAACTTGGAGAAAGGATGAAAGTTAAACCGGTGTACAGGTCTTTTGTTCATGGGGTTGCTATGAGTCACCTATGACTTGATGACACTCAACAACAGTCAATTTTTGTATTCTATGACATCCTTTTCTGTTTTTAAATAAGTCTTCACAGTTGTGCAACATAATGTAACATCCTTTGATCTTCCATTGTGTATGGAGAGTTTAGAATCGGATTTTAAGATTCCAAGTAGTTTTGTTTTTAATCAGTTCTGAAGAGTTTTCCTTTTTTATTTTTTAAAAAATTTATTAATTTTAATCAAAGTTTACAGAGACTTAGGATTCCAGTCATTCATTGTTGCACTTTTCTCCCTGCTCACCTCTCCCCCCAAATCATTCTTCTCAATAGTTGTCTCATCTGTTTCAATGCAATATACATCATTCCTCCCCTACTTTTCTGTCCTGAGGTCAGTCCCGTTTTACAAGTTTGTCCTATACAATATTTGTCCTTTTGTGACTGAGATTTTTCACTCAGCATAATGTCCTCCAGGGTCACCCATTTTGTATAATATTTCATTTGTTGCTTTTTTCAATGCTGCATAGTATTCCATTGTGTGAATATACCAGAGCTTCTCTATCCATTCGTTTGTTGATGGGCACTTGGGTTTTTTTCCAGCTCTTTGCTATTGCGAACAAAGCTTTAGTAAATATGGATGTGCATATATCTGCTTGGGTGGCAGTTATGGTTTCTTTAGGAATTCCCAGTAGTGGAATTGCTGGGTCAAATGGTATTTCTATTTGCAACTTTTTAAGAGAGTGCCATACAGCCTTCCATAGTGGTTGTACCATTTTATACATCCACCAGCAGTGAATAAGGGTTCCAGTTTTTCCACAACCTCTCCAGCATTTGATGTTTGCTGCTGTTAAATTTTGCTACTCTTATTGAGATGAGATGATAGAGTTATTTTGATAAGAGTTTTCCTTTAATGTCTGAGGTGATAAGTTACATGTTGGGCTGCTCATTAATTGAAAGGTTGGTGGTTTGAATCCACTGCTATTCCATGAGATACTTACTTCCTTGGAAACCCACGGACAGTCAGAAAGTCTGGTAGTGGGTAGTGGCTTATGCTTTTTAATTCTAACAACTTGACAGTTGTTATCCTAAGCTATACTATTACACATGGAATTTATTAATTAGAATTTATATCTTCAAGTACTTAGGATGAGTCACTTCACTTTGTCTACAAGTGTTTTACTTTGTTCTTTTTAAATTGACTTTTGCAAATGGTTAAATGGGTTTTTCTGTTTAAAAATGCTCCCTTTTACATTGGGATTGAGGGAAGACAGATGAAGGGGAGGAATGATGTATACTGCATTGCAACAGAATTGGGAGAGAACTGTTTAAAAGGAATATATGATTAGGTATTATTGTCCTGTCAGGAGTTCAGAATGAAGGCTGCACAGTGCAGTGGACTTGGAGGGAGGGATTGCATAACAATGAGTTTTACCAAGGAGAAAAGTTAATTGGGGGAGAGGGGGTGGGCAAGGAGAATAGTACAACAATGAGTGACTGGAAACCCTAAGTGTCTGTAAACTTTCATTAAAATTAATAAAAAAAGAAAAAAATGCTCCCTTTTTTTCTGGCAGCTTCACCCACCTTCATAAGACCTCTTGTAAAATTTTATAGCACTCTATCCATTCCCAGTTTGGTATTTGGTTATTCATTTAAATAACTATAGGGTCACTATCAGTCGTCTAAGACTCTCGATGGCACCTAACAGCAACAACAACTTGGTTATATAGTAGCAGTGATGATTAGATGATAGATTTGATTCCCACTCTGCCGATGCTGTGGAGCTTCTAGAATAAGGTGGATTAGGAGGAAGGGTCTGACTGTTTAAATTTTCTGGTTCACAGATTGAATCTGCATCAAATCATGGGCCCTATTGCTGAAGCAAGTATCTCTTTACTACATTACGTGCAGGTTTCAGTTAGCAGTATCACTTTTGTTGTCAGGCATTATAATGTCACTGGAGAGAGACACTAAACGAGCTTCCATCCCATTCCGTCAGATTGATCCTGATTCATGTTAACTTTGTAGGACTGTGGAACTGCTGTAAATCTAGGGAAATTGACTGCCTCATCTTATTAGAAGTGGCTGGTAGGTTCAAACAACCCACCTTTTGGTTGGCAGTCAGATATATTAAGCACAGTGCCACCAGAGCTTAATACTGCACTATTCTGTGAGGTGGAATTGACTTTAATGGCAGTGGATTTGGCGTTTTAAAATCTATGGAGATTGTCATGTCTTCCACAGAGCACTGCTGGATGTGCATTAAAATCAATTAGCTTCAGAAAACAACAATGCGTAGTCCCCACTTCTTGGCAAAGTCAGCCTTGTTCAGATTAACTAGATGTGCTCTCTCATTTGTGCAATGAGAACCAGAAATTGGCTGAGATGGCCTTGTTTCCCCCAGGTTTGCAGGCTTTCTCACTTAGAGAGCAAACTTAACTAATATTAGTGGAGAACATATTTTGCATTAGTGTAAAAGCGTTTTCCTTCGACTGATTTCCTCCTGCCTAGTATGCTCTGTGGGATCTAGTCTCATGAGAAAAACATTCTATTTTATGCAAACAGTCCTGTGAACACCCTCCTCTCTGCCAGCGAGGCAGCCATAGCCTTCTGATCCACCGTGAGGACTGGTTCTGGGTGGATAGCTGATGGTACATTTTTTACCCTGCCCATGTTAGTCTGGAGATCTTAGTGGTGGTTTAATCTGAGCACAATGAGACCATTCCAGCCTCTCATCAGTGAGTGGCTGTATCTTTGAGGAAGAATTGTAAAAACAACAAAAAAAGTGCTTTCTAAGACAAAAATTTTATGCTGCATTGAAAAACAAGGAACTCATGCAATATTATTCAAAATGGTTGACTCTGGAGAACTTTATGCTGAGTGAAATATCCCTGTCACAAAAGGACAAATATTGCATGGTGCCACTGCTGTAATACAGGACTGACCTAGGGGTTGGGGAGAGACTGAGTAAGATGGGTTCAATAATGTATACTGCACTGAAACAGAGGAGGAAGAAAACTGTTTAAAAGAGATGTGTCATTAGGTATTTCTGTCATGACAAGAGTCTAGAGTGATGGCTACATGGTGGAGTGGTCCTGGGGGAGGGTTTGTAAAACAATGAAAGAATTTTTGTTTTACTTCTCCAAGAGGGGAGTGTTCTGGGGTGGGGGTGGGGGAGCCTTGGGAGGGGACAAATGTGCAACAATGAATGAATGGAAATTAAAAAAAAAGAGTTGTCTCCTCAAGGTCACTGATTGACTCTGATTGCACTGGGTAGAGTCCCCCTGGATGGAGCTTTTGCTTAAGGAGTATTGGGGTTACATTAATTGTACAATAAAATAATGGGGGAAATAGCAAAGATGGCTGCACGAATTGCGGAATGTAGTTAATGTTACTAAATTGTCCACGGAGAAATTGAGATGAAATTTTCTGTATATTTTCACAAGAATAATAAAAATCCCCCTGGCCACAGCCACAGAAGCTCCACACTCCCATAATGAGGATGCTATTTCTGCCAATCCGATCTGATTTTAGGGTTTGTGTTTGATTAGTGCACCTGAAGGATGGACCCAGCTTTTATCCCTGGCCTCATTTGGGTGTGGGCTCTTGTGGCTGTATCTGACTCCCGTGGAAAGGGGAGTGCTGATGCAGAGAAAAGCTGAATTCTTTAAGACTCTTGAGTTTTTGGATATAACTATTGATCTAACCATGACCTTTGAAGTCCACACCTAGATTTTTTCACATAATGTGAGCTAATAAATTCTTTGATGGATTCCATTTCTTTCTGAACATAATCCACAGATCTTGAGGATTTGCATCACAGTTGTCTGCACCTTGCTTTCACAAAATGAACTCTTTTGACCTTTACAATAGCTGCTCAGCCAGAAATGATGATTCCCATTTTACAGATGTTTATTTACATAGAGGGTCTGGGAGGGTCTGTGTTTTGCACAAAATAATGACAGGCTAAATTCAGCTCTTCTGAGCTCCAGGGCCACAATTAAC